AAAGCTGTTCTTCTTTAAGCTGAGGACCCAGCCTTATTCATCTGAAACACCAGGGAATATCAGCCTGGCCAGGGCTGTAGACATAAGGCACAACGTCTCTTGTGGGAAAAGGACTATGCTTCTTGCTGTCTAAATTTTAAGAACTCAGTGTAATTGTGTCTTTATTCACAATCACCATTTCATAATGTCAAATGGCAAAGTTAAAGGTGTCAAGTGAAAACACTCATACAGGGGAACTTTCTCTTAAAGGTCATGTGTATCGAAACCTTTTCAACAATCCCCAAACACATCATCAACGATGCAGGAATGATGAAGGATCTTCCAGTAGCTCATGGATTTTAACTTCAAATATTGCCAGGCAAAGTTCATCGTGGCTATGCATAGCGATTTCTGGATTTCTGTTTCATCCCTACTAGAGTTGTGATATCATGCATGTATGTAATTGACCAGTTTCATATCAGTTTTACAGCCCCCAATCATGTTACATTTTACATAGATTACCAAGAGTGAACAGGAAACTCCAGTACTGTTTACTTGAGTTTGTTCTGTATGGTAAAGGTCAGATTTCTACTAATCAGATTTTCTAGAAATTATAGCCCTAAAGAATTTCTAAAGATGAAGATATTTTTAGAATGAGTCAATGGTTCATTCTTGAAATTTTAGAACCATTAGCACTTTATCCTAATGGCATGTGGAAAACAGTTAAAAATGACCAGAAGCTATCCACAATTATTAGTAAAGAGTGAGAACGTGGCTTGGTATAGGTTGGAAATTAAGACACAAATAGTATCTGAGGCAAGGTTGGAGGTCTGATATATTTCCTGTGTTCTGTCCCATTTCAGGAAGAAACTTTCTATTTGTCTCTGTGAAATGACAACACTGATTAACATAAGGAGGAATTTATTAATTTATACAATCTCCCTTTAGTGCATAAACAGTTTGGAATACATTGTGGGTCCCAGGCAGATTTCATATTGGACAGCCAAAATAATGTCATTTCCTAAACACCACATGCTTTTTATTATCACTTAAGAAATGGTTTACGTGTACCAACGGAAGATTTTATCTGAGCGGTAATCTGACTATTTCTTAATTTAGACCAGCATTTACATTAGCAAGCTCCTAAAATATTGGTCTCAGCCTTTTAATTCATAGAGTCTGTGGAGAAGAAAAAAGGAACACACACTTGGCCCCAGCTCAGTCCCTTGATCTTACAGGGAGACAGAGGTCTTTGCCATTTTATTTTTAAAGCGAACAAGTTGGAATTAAGAGGGAAAGTGGTCCAGATATTTTTAACATTGTCACAATTCTCTTATGAGATCTTGGATTAATCTTCTCATACATTAGCCCTGAAATGAGCACTTTCTCTCCCGAGAGTATTGTGGTTAAGAGCACAGCCTCGGTGCGTAAACTGCCTGGCTTTGAATTCTGGCTCCAACACTCACTAGCTGTGGGACCCAGGGTAAGTTATTCACCTCATCTGTAAAATGGGAATAATAATAATACCTATAGGTTGTTATAGGTTTATAGGTTGTTGTGAAGATAATGAGTTAGTGTGTGTAAAAATTAGCACTCAAAAATGTTAGCTATTGACTTCATTACAGGGCCCCGGGCATTCGGCATTTTGGTAGTTTCACTTCTAAACTTTGGAAGTCCTAGACTGGCATTGTTGGAGGAAGCAGTAATTCTAACCTACCCACACCTCGGGACGATGGCTGATATTAGTAGTTCCAGGTTTCCTAAATCCCCACCCCCTTCCTGCCCACACTCCTGAAGTCCTGGTGTTCCACTGGGTACACAGCGGTGAACCCTCCTCCTTACTGGCCCCGTGCCATGGCCCACTTTTGAGGGACATAGAAAGCAGCTCTGTTATCCTGAGGAAGGAACAGGCAGAGATAGGGTAAATTGCCAGTATCTTCTGGGACATAAGGAAGAAAATTAGTTCGAATAGCTGATTAATAATTATTTTACATTGATTACATTTTGAAATTGATATTATTTTGGATATACTGAGTTAAGTAAATTATATTGATTAAAATAAATTATACTGGTTAAGATTAAAACTGATTAAAATCAATTTCATCTGTTTCTTTTTACTTTTTATTATGTGGCTACTAGAAAATTTAAGATTCCATATGTGGCTCATGCTGTATTTCTGTTGGGCTGCGTGTGCTCTGTTAGAGGAACAGGAGAATTTCTGAAGGCAATCTAACGGTGCCCCCGGTTAGGACATGTGGAAATGATTCCTGCCTCCAGTGGGAGATTGGTGTGGGCCATTTCTGACCACAGTTTTAGTGTGAAGTAAACTAAAAGAACATGGGGGGAAAGTGCCCCCTGGGGTACAGAGCAAGCATTTTGAAATAGCAGAATGTATGCCCCAAACAGTAGCCATGAGTTTTGAAACATCAGATAAGCCCTCCAAGAAATAACTTAAATTGGGTTAGTACAGCATTTCATAAGGTTTACAGTGCCACGGAAATGAAAGATCCTAAGAAGTGCCAAGAATCTGTTGACAAAATAAATTTGGTCAGTGTAAATTTCCTTCTTAGGAGGTAACTTGACACTTCCCATTTAAGGTAGGTTCCAGTATCTGTTTTGTGCCTAGTGGATTATCTACGCCATCTGGAAAGTGGGTCATGTCAGCCCCAAGGCAAGAAGTGGGCTTGGCGAGTTTCTGATTACCTTCACTCTAGGCTTTTCCCCTGCTCAGAATCTTTGCCACGCATATCTGCAGAAGCAAAGCTGGAAAACATGTGCTGATGGCGTCAATGCCAAGCAGTGGCTTGGGGGAGCTAAAGCCCCTCATGATCTTCCTCTGGCCCCCCAGGCCATAAACAGGCATCTAAATAAAAACACAGCTTCAAAGCAAACCTACTCTCCCAGTCCATCTAAGCAGACTCCTAGCTCTTGCATTTGGCAACTCTGGAGCTGCCCTGGGCTTGATATTAAATCAAGAGGAGACAGAGAGAGAGAGAGAGAGAGAGAGAGAGAGGGAGATGGCTGATTGAAAATCAGTGTGTGGCATTGATGGAATTCAGGATGAAAGGCAAATTTACTTGAAAACTCGGGAACCTGTTGAAAATCACTGCCTTTATTTTAAAAATACAGTTTGTCCAGCGGGTCAGTCACGATGGAAGGAGAGATCTTCTTCCTCCTGTTCTCCTCCTCTAAAGGACTTAGGAAAGTGAATAACAACCCTTCTCACAAGTGGTGGTTACCTCCGGGCCCATTCCCAGGCGATTTCAGTAGCAGCGGTGGGGGAGATTCTTATGTATACACTCACAGATAATGGATAAAACCCCATGACTGACACACTAATCCCCACCAGTTCAAGGCAGGTACTCCCCAAATCAGAAATGGCTTCTGTCTCCCGAGTTGAATTCTAAGTGATTTAGTGGAACCTGAAATGCTTTCTCTCATAGATACACATTCTGCATTGTAGCCCCAACCTCCAAAATTTGATTTAGCTCCTAAAATAATTGAAAGGTTCTACCAATAGAACAAAACAACTGCAGAGAAGCCACGTTGGTTTCCGCATCACAGCATTCCTGCCGCACAAATCCCCCAGCTCAGGGTGTAACGGGACACACAGCCTCTCACGGCCCTAGTTCACAGGGTACCTTCTACATCCTCCATCTCATTGCCCCCAAAGTGTAACTTACTGATTCAGACCAGCCTGCACCCTGACAGAGGACGGGGTAGAAGAGTGAGGGCAGTGGGGACCAGGGAGCAAAGAACACAGCGAGGAAAGGGAGTCAATCTGGGGGGAGGTCATATCCAGGCTTTTAGGACCCCACGTCCTGTCCCACCCGAGGGTGAGCGTATGAAGATAATCAAAAGCAGTGACAGAGGTGGGAAGTAGGATAAAGTTACTTCTTCAGCTTTTACAGATCAGGCCCTGATGGCAGGCACTGTCCCTCTCTTTTCTCCCAAACTGTGGCAGGTGGGAGCCATGGTTGATCTCCTACTCCCTGCAGGGCCAGTCTTGTTCTCTTGAAGATTAAGAAGTGAAGCTACCAAAATGCCTATCTCCCGCTTCTCCGTAAGAGGCCGGCCCACTCTCAGACACACCCCAGGCTCTGCCCGCTGTGTTACACCTTAGGCAGCACCACAGAACTGACGCTGAGGTTGCCCAAACCAGGCCAGCCCGTCTCAGAGCCTAGGCCCCTGTGCTTCAGCTCCCCAGGCAGCCTCTGGCCTGCTGGGTCACCGCAGGGTCTGAAGATGGACCAGCCACTTCGCGCGCGGTTTGTGCTTACATCGTGCACAGCTATAAGCTGAAGGGCACCTGTACATACCCGACGGTGACATCAAGAAGATGCACATGCCTCCTCTAGAGGGATCTCAAAAGCTTAGCAAGGGGTTCCTCCAAGCAACCATCTTTTCCTCTAGCATGAATTTTCAGGGCACAAAGAGTTACACACTCAGCATGTAAACTGAGAAACCTGTAAACTAGGTGTTGGCAGAACTTTTAGGATAAATAACGAATACTCTGAACTTCTGCAGCAGGAGCCCTTCTCACCTGGAACCATTCTCAACGCTCTGGGCTGGGTGCCACCTTTGCCCTGGGGGAAACAGGAGGGAAAGCCTGGAGGATAGCACCAGCGGACGGAACCGGAGGCTGACCACCGCTCAGGGAAGTCGGGGGATACCGACAGCCGTCCGAGGGTGGTGGGGCTGCCTCCTGCTCGGGTCCTGAGCCAGGCGTTCGCGGCGTGACAGGGGCGCTGTCCAGGGGCTTCTGACTCTTGGGTGGGGAGCTCGGCCGGCCTAGTGGAGGGCCAAGGCTCCCTTCCAGGGGATTATATTACTGTGTGAGAAACACTCGCACACGCCAGGGCTGGGGGAGGAAGGAAGTGGGGTGATGGTGAGAGGCAGAGGGAAGGCTACAGACCTTTACCAATTAGGACATGTTTTTACAAGTTTCAAAAGCTGGTGTGGCAGTGGAGAGGGTGGGAGTAAGGCGGAGTGTGAGAAGGCTGCGGACGTGAGGGACTTACCGTGAAAGGCAAGGAGCAGACGACGAAGGTGATGGTCATAACAGCCAGGAGAATGAGGTGGTCCACCTCCTCCGCCATGGACGCCCTCTCCCCTCTCCTGCGGGGCCCGGGGCCGCCCGGGCCGCTGCCCAAGGAGGGTCCGCAGCGGCTCCTCCGGGCCCGGCGGTGCATGCGGACGAGGTGGAGGATGACACTGAGGTTGCAGGCGAGCACGGCGACGATGAGGAGCAGCAGCAGGGTGGCGTACAGCTGCAGGTACGCGGTCCGCCCGTGCCGGAGGAAGCACCACGTCCCTGGGCAGTACTGGACGTACTGCCTGCGGTCCAGCAGCGGCAGGGAGCAGAGGAGCAGGGAGGCGGCGTAGACGGCGGGCAGCACGGCCAGGCCGCCGCGGCGCGTGGCGCGGCGCTGGTACAGGTAGGGGTGCCCGATGGAGAGGTAGCGCTCCAGGGCCATGGCGAAGAGCATGAGCATCGTGGCCAGGCTGAAGAAGGTCATGGCGAAGGCGAAGTAGGTGCACGCGCGGCTCTCGGGCGCCAGGGCCACCAGGGTCTGGTTCCGCGCGTACGAAGCCAGCACCACGGGGCTGATGAGGCAGGTCCCCAGCAGGTCGGTGAACACCAGCTCGGTCACCAGTACGTGGAACAAGGAGACGGAGTTCCCGCGGCCAGCGCCGCGGCCCGCGTCCCCCCGCCAGCGGCGCGCCAGCAGCGCCAGCGCGATGAGGTTGCCCAGCACCCCGGCCGAGAACATCGCGGAGCTGATGGCCGGGCTTTCGCCCGCGGGGAGCCACTGCCGAGCCTCGCAGTCCCCGGGCCGGGAGTCATTGGAGGCATTGCCCATGGTGGGGCGTCGGGAGGGAGACGGCCTGTACCTGGGGGGAGGAGGGTCTGAGAGCCGCGGCGCTCCGAGACCCAGAGGGAAAAGGGGAGGGATCGAGTCCGGAGCCCCTTCCGGCCCCCTGCGCGCGCGGAGGGCAGGCTTCGCGGAGGGCAGGCTCGGCCGGGTCTCCAGCCGTCCCGCCCCGGAGAGGCCGCTGGGCTGCAGCATCCGGCCGTCGCTCCACGCTCCTCCGCCGACCCGCGCCCACCGCGCCCGCGCCCAGGGGTCGCCTCCACCTCCGCCTCCGCCTCCTCCCGGGGCCGCGCTCGGGGCGGCGTCCGGATGTCCCAGGGGCGCCCGCCAGCTGCCCCGGAGGCGGGAGGTGTCAGTCCCCGCGGGGCGCCCACCGGCTCTCTCGGGGTGGGGGTCCGGGGCTCGGAGCCGGCGGACCTCCGCGGGGCTGCGTTTAGCTGAGCAGAGGGCTGGGCGCGCGCGGGAACTTGCGGGGTCTGCGCGGAATTCACAGAAGGCGGGGCAGCTCACCAGACAGCAGGGAAGCCGGGAGGACCCAGTCCCGTGAGAAGTGAAAAAGACGGAACAACAGACACCACGGACGGTTTGCAGTAAGACCAATATGTTCTCTTTCTTTTTTTAACATTCTCAGGAAGATACACGAAGAGGGCGGGACCCGAGTGGGGAGGAAGTGCAAGCCCGCCCAGCCAGGGACCGAACCAGCGGCCCCGCTGCCTGTTGCACTAGCGCTTTGATTCGTTCGCCAGCATTTCGCCTTTTCCTATGTCAACATCATAATGATAACCACTTGTTTAAGCAACCATTTAAAAAAAAAAAAGGAAAAAAGAAAACTTCCTTGTAATTGTGTAGACTTGTGTTTGAAGACGCAGCTTGAAACCACTGCACATTGTTCTCCACTCAAGCTCAGTCTTGAAAGAAAATGTTCAGCCATTTAATTTTTCCACGTTCAGTTAGCCATCCAGAAGACCCGTTCCTGGTAAAGTTTATTGGTAAGTGGCCAGTTTCAGAGACTGAAGCAGACAGAAATGGTTGCTTACCACCTATTGTCTTAACTGCAGAGTCTGAAAGTGGGCTGATGTTTAAAACAAAAAGTCCAGTTTGACAGATGACGTAGGTAATTATATTCTGTAAGGAAGGTCGTATTCGCCTTCCCAGTTGCACTAGGTACATTTCAACAGCTACCTGTGACTAGTGGTTACACACTGGGCAGCTCATATATTAAACACTTCCATCATCAGAAATTCTGTTGCACGGTGCTGCATTAGAGCTTACACGATCGTGGGAGCGGGTGGAGAAGTCTGTGCAAGTCTGTTTGCTGTCTTTGGTTCGAGTGTTGAGGCTGAAGTCACCGTAGGTCAGCCAGAAGTTCAGTCAGGGTAGAAAGCTGGATGTGCATGGTGCCAAAACAGACTTGGAACCTGCCGGGACAAACTGGAATTTGTGAACAACTGGAATCCTCCACGACAGACTGGATCTGCGTGTGTCTCATTACCTCCAAACTGGGTGATGCAGCCGTACTGCAGGAGAAGCTGGCGCCCTCATGGAGCTGCACCTGCATTGGGCTGAGGACTCGGAGAAGCGGGAGGAGGAGGCCTGGCCAGAGCTGGATTCTGGGTGCCACCTCATGCCCATGAGGTGCGCCAGCAGGTCAGTGCCGATGTGCTCGAGTCACCATGCCTGGAGCCGTGCATTGTCCTTCAGAGCTGTTGTTTTGCTGCCCCTTTCAGATCTCATGCAACATTTCTCTCCGGCCAACATTAACCTGAAACCATGCCAGATTCTGGAAAACGGATCCTGCTTAGCTGAGCTGACACAGAACAAGGTCACCACACTGCCTCGCAGGTCCAGTCATCAAGTCTGCACTGAAGGCAGAGGGTGAGGGAGAGACAGGACCTGTGAGCTGGCTCTCTCCTGTTCCTGTTTCTTTCATCAGGAAAGCGAAAGATTTTCCAGAAGCACCCCAATAGACTTCCCTTCATATCTCATTAGCCAGAACTTGGTAAAATGGCCTCCTCTAGCTCCAGGTGAGGCTCAGAAATAGGGTATCGGGCGTTTCCAGCCTCTTCTAAAGTAGAGGCAGGCAAGGAGGAAGGGGCTGGGAATGGCTTTGGGTTAGTCTACCAACAGAGGCTGCTGCAGGTCTGCACCGTGCATTTCCCACCGTCCCCTCCTTATACCTGGAAGGAGAGTTCAAGAACACCCATTCCAAGTCCTTCATTTGCATTTGAAGAAACTGAGGCCTAGAAAGGTTGAGTGGCTTACCCAAGGACACACAGAGTTAGTGCAATAAAGCTAGGAGAATAGAAGCCAGACCATCTTATTTACGTCCCAGGCCCCTGTGTATTGCACACATGGTCCATTTAAAGCCATAAAGGAGCATATGGCAAGATACCCATCCTCAGTGCTGCACTAGAACTCATTGGCAGATCACTCAACACAATTTAGATGTCACTTTTTGCCTGACACATTGGTAGAGGTCGAAAAGATTGCACACACCCAGTATGACCAAAGATGGAAATGGGCCACTGTTGGTGGGAGTGTAAGTGAGTACAACCTTTCTGGTAGGAATAGTTTATTCATTATTAAAAATTTCAAATATGCTTCAGCCCAGAAATAATGTTACAGAAATGTACTGCCCTAGGAGACATAATTTGGCAAGTACACAAAGATGTCACACACACACATACACGGAGCAGAAAGAATGTTCATTATTGCAAGAATCTAGAACTAAATGTCCTTCCATAGAGGACTGGTTTAATAAATTTTGGTACACCTATGCAATGGAATATATAGTCATTAAAAGGATGATGTGAATCTACATTTATTGATAATGACCTTTACCACCTACTGAGTTAAAAGCGTGTATATTATTCCATTCATATAAAATTACATGCATAATTATTTGCATAGAACAACATCTAGAAGGATGTTCAGCAAAATATTAATGGTAATTTCTCTGGATAGTACTTTCTTCTTTACGCTTGTCTGTTTTGGTTGATTTTTCTATACGTATGTATTACTTTTATATTAGGAAATGCAAGGAAGCTGCTTTTTGTTTAGAAATACTTAACCATTAGAGGAGACTGTCTTTCCCACTTAGTGGGAGACATGGAGTTAGATGCTAATGTTAAATTACCTTCCAGTTCTACTTTTTGAGCAGGAAGGTCTTGCCAGTTGCTTGATACTGATCAAGACGATTGGACGTGCTATCCTTACATTTTTCACAAGGGTTTGGCAACTGTCCTTCCTACTTGAAGACTGGAAATCATCACACATTGTACACCCTCTAATGGGATGATGGGATGATGCCCTGCCCCCTTCAAGTGACTGCTTTGACGTTAGGTCCTTGTCATCCCGTAGAGTCACTGCTTAACCCAATTCTGACACTACCATCACCAGGAAGTCCCTCTCTCATAAAGGCGGTAACAAAGTCAACCATGGGTCAAAAACAAAAAGAGCAGTCAATAGAAACCAACTTCGAGATATGTTCGAAGAATTCAGGGAAATTGTGAGTGGGCAGGTAGAGAATCTTAGTAGACAAATGGAAACTATAAAAAAGAACCAAATGGAAATTCTAGAACTACAATTTACAGTACTTGGAGATGGCAGAAGAAAGAGTGAACTTGAAGCCTAAGCACATCTGGTCGCCTTTTCTTCCATGTCATCACTGCTTTTGTGCTCATGGGAAATATTCTCATTCTTTCCATGCCTCGTGAGGCTTAGAGAACTCTCGGTTCCCACTGCGTGCCTGGTTTCTAGGGGTTTTCTATGCTCTCAGATCCCTCAAACCGCTCTGAGATTTTGGGGTGCTGAGCCACATTATCTAAGAAAGCCCCGTGTTAACATCTAGGCTCTCTTGTTCTCTTGAACTTCACCTTCCGTCCTTCATCGCCTGTGGAACTAGCCGGGGCAGAAGCAGAGCAGCTTTGCTCTTCCTCATCTCCTCTGATCAGGCCTTAGGCCTAGTCTTTCAAAAGTTATAAGCCCAGAATTGACGCCTATGTTCTGTCTCGTCGTCCTTTCTCTGAGGCAGTCAGCACAGAACGGGGGAAGATCTGGAGTATCAGGAAGTACTGGGCAAAAAATACATAAGTAAACACGTCAAATTAGCATCCGGCTACATCTGCCTTCATGTAGCTTGTATGTGTCACTCATTACAACTTCACAGGATTGTTTGAGAAACAACTTGATAAAGTCTTTGCTAATCCCTGAGTCAATAAAAAGTCCTTTGCAAACGGATGTAAGACTACAACAGTTCTCTTGTCCTCCGGCAGGAAACATCAGAACAGTAAGTCCACGCACTGCTAGTTAGCTCAGAGTTAGACGAAATGAGTCACTCGATCACGTTAGGAGGCAAATTACCTGTGATTCTAATTTCCTTTTTAAGATTGGTAGAAGACAACACCACAGAATCATGAACATTCTCTTTTCTTTGAAAGGTTTGCTTCCAAGGACAGAGAAAAGCACAAAAGTAAGGAGACGGTTCTTCGACTTAAAGTAACAACTCATCATAGAAACTTCGGAAAAATAGAAGAAGAAAACTCACCATGAATGTATCCATCAAAAATGGCCACTCAGCATTTGGATGTGTTTCCTTCAATTTTTCTTCTATGCACTTTTTTTGTTTCCAAAGTTGTGATAATATTATAGATAAAATTTTTTATACTGCTTTTTAAAAAACTTTATAATGAATAGCTTCCATTGCAATATGTATTAAGGGCCTTAAAAATAAATGTGCATGCTCTGAGACCCAGAAGCTGCATTTCCAGAAATCTGTAATCCGTTTATTTATTCACTCAATAACGATTTATTAAGACATATATTTACTGAGGCAGCACAGTATAGTTTTAAGAGCATGGGTTCTGGAGTCAGATTGCTCTGAATTCAAATTTTAGTTGTGCCCTTAGGCAAGTTCCCTTGCTTCTATGTACCTCCACTTCCTCATCTGTCCTATGGGGATAATAACAGTACTTATCTCAAAGGTCGCTGTGGAACTCAGGGTTTGGCCCACAGCTAGCACTCAGC